ATGAATTCCTAACTTTGGTTTTCTCTATTAATTAGAAAAGTTAACCCAGGTGTTTCATTCTCTTTCCTATTTACAAATTGCACTCTCAGGAAGAAAATATTTAAAATCCCAAATTTAACCAAAAGCTTCTTTCAGTTAAACTTGGACCTAAACGCTAGGTTTTGTCAAAATTTATCAAAAAAACAGAAATATCTACCTCAGCTTTACTATGTTCTAATTTCATCCTCCTGTACGCTTCCTGAGCCTGCTTTGAACGAAACATCGCTTGAACCTTCACGACCGATCTCTCAACACGCTCCTCAGCTTGTTTCCTGCTGGCTTGGAAGAAGTCTTCTTCCACGTCATTTTCTTGATTTGGTTCTTTAAGGATTTCATTGGGCTGAACTTGAAGCCCACGAAAGCCTTTCCTCTTCTGCCGCCAACGTAGTATAGCTTTCTCAAGGACGCCAACCGACCAAACAATTTTTTGGTACTGCCTTCTCGCCTGGTAACCCCTGAAAATAGCCTGCCAGCAAAGAATTCTCATCAGAAATTCCAGGCATAAATTGATATCCATAAAAACCAATGCCTAAGTAGAATAATTATCTACCCGTGAGGGTCCTGACATAGCAAATCCAATTGTCTCTGGAAGTTACAGATTAGCCCTTTTGGGTTTGCCTTTATTTATCAAATATCAAATCCCATATTGAGGATTCTACATGTAAAATTTAAGCAAATTCGATTACACTTGTAACATTGAAAGACAGTAGGCATTTTCCTGCAAGCACACACAACATAAACGTTATTCTGGCCATGAACCATGTGAATTCTATACCAGATAATCTACTTCTGATTGGACCAGTAGTTTTTTCTTGGTTCTATTGATTTTCGTAGGTATTTGTATTTCAAAATCCAATCTCCATAAAAAGAAAAGAGTAATAATATCCATATGCTCAGCATGTTTATATACACTCACTTGAATTTTAATAGCTTGCCGCCGCATGTTAAGGAAATCCTTGCGTATCTTCCAGGTACGAAACCTGTATTGTATTCTAGCAGCAGCAGCCATCTTTTTGCGCGTCTCATAGTTTCGGAAAGCGTGTTGGATCTTCATAGCCGCAACAATATTACGTGCTTCGATCTCTGGATCAAGCGACTGAACTGCTTTTGTTCGTACCTGATAGGGTAAAGATCGTAAAATAGTAAAACACAAATGACACCAAATTTCATTGGATATTACAGTTCAAAAATAAGGTTACATGGACTACTAGAAAAGTTCAAGGTCTCATACATATCTAGTTACTACCTCCAAGTTTGTGCCCTAAAATAGCTACTTATATGATAAAATCTTGTCAATCAATTTTTTTCTTTAGGACTAGTGTGGTAAGATCTGGTAATTCAGTTATTAATACAAGATTAGCCGAAAATATGTTTCTTGGAAACTAATTATTCTTCTTATTTGCTCTGCCAGTACCTTGAGTGAATGCTCTCTGAAAGCAGTTTGAATACGTGCGGCAGCATCAGCAGCAGTCCTGTAAGCTGCAAGAGCATCCTTCAGATGCAATTCCTCCTCAGTGAAATTCCCAGGGTTAATTATGTCATTTGAGTTGGTCTGTAGTGATCCGCTAACATTTCCTGCCAACGTCATATCATTAAATTGGGCAACCAAACCCTTCTCAGCAAGATAAGCAGCTAAGCCGTCATAGCCATTCTTGGAAGCCAGGTCAGCAGCGGTGCATCCACCGGGGATTTGTGGGGTTGGATCTGTGACTAAGTTCGGCTTTGCCCCAACTGATAATAGGGTTGCCACCATTTTCTCCCTGAAGTTTATATACTTTCGTGAGACAATGTTTTACTAAATTCATGTTCTTGTTAAAGTCGATACTGCCAAAAATGTTGATATCTCCTCAGCCCAAAAATTTGAAGTTGTCAATACTTATATGGTGCATAGACCCTAAAGAACCGAATGGTGAGAATGAAGAAAATGAAATATTTAGAGATTAGAAATAAATGCATCAAATATTCAGATAAAATTATAAAATGAAGCAAAGTAAATTAAGCAGCTTTTTTGATCAACTGAAAATTTTATGATGATACCTTCCATAACATGCAGCCCAATGTAAAGCGGTCCATCCATATGTGTCCCGATAATCTACCGACAAACCAGACCATGAAAACGGGTACACAGCCCAAGTATAACCCAGGATGGCACATAAGTGAATTATGCCCTGACCTTGTTCATCACGTTCAGAAACTTTACACCCCGCCACCACTTTTTCTATCAACCATTCGTGAAGTCGATTCTGTAAAGTCAACTCAAATAGTCTATTTTTTGCATCGGAAAAGGGAATTTTGGCATCACGAATCATTTTGCTCAACTCCCCCCAGCTTTCAGAGACGTGTTTAGTTTTACGAGCAAAAGCTCTGGCTTCCCTTAAAGCATTAGGGGATAGTTTAGTGGAGTAAAGATACAAGCCCTTGGACGATGAGAACAATAAACGTGCAAGCCTCATCTGAAGTTGGAACACTTCCCAATCATTCTTATCTTCATATGAAATTGCATTATTGGGCTTTGCTGGATTGCGGAATTCAAAAGTCATGATTTCACTAATAGGTGTATGCCCATCAATAGTTAAATATAGATTCACTAATCCAGGAGTTTGAGAAGAAACTAAACAACGGAACACTCCAGCTTGGACAAGTTCCACTGCAATAATTGAATCTCCACATGTAAGATACAATCGGGAGTCCGCACGGGGTAGAAATCCTTCACTGAAAGACCCAACTATCAAGATCTGCACAGAAATCCATAAGTCAACAAAGTGCTGTCTAAAACAAATTGCAGACGGCAGCCCACAAAGAAAATGAAAAATAAAAATAAAATAAGAACATACAGTGATTAGTTTAAATTTAATGTAAACACATGATATTAGCTTAACCATGCAATTTTCCATTTTTCTTTCTCCTTTTAATGTAATAGACAGAGTAAGCGCGTGCAACTAATTCAAAGAAAAGGGAAAAATGTCTTTGTAATCGAAGCTGATTTTCCTGCTGCATATAACTAACTCATTTAGCCACGATCAAAACGCTCCAAAAAATTCGGTGTCCCTATTGCACTATAAAGCATATTACTGGAAAATTGTGCGGATGCTTGAAAGGTTACCACAACAGAGACCATAAGTAAAAGGGTGAAAGTGAAAACAACCTTTGTGACTTCCGTTGAAAGAGCCCATGCAGGTGATATATCCGATATTTTGAATATCTGGCCAGGTGGAGGATGGTGATGATCAACCATAGGATATGTGAACGATTTATGCCCATCCAACATTGAGGATTGCATAACCTGATCACCGACTGATTCCGGAGAATCAGCAATGGCGTAAGTCATCCATGTACCAAAACTGTCTTGTGCTTGCGAACAATTTAATTGTTCTAGTCCAGACACCACACTGTTTGAATTCACTTTCATTTCAGAACCCACTGCCTGGTAGGGTATTGTGTTGGGATTACAATGGTTAGCGGTATTATTGTGGGTAACTTGTCCAAAGAAACTGTTTGCTGAAATATCTGGGTTAACCTTACTGCTTATTATGCCATCGTCCTGTAAATGAAAAACTCAATATTAATTTTGAAACAAGAAAACCAAAGACGGAGCAATTTGTTTAGCAGGACCATATACATTATACATATAGACAATTTGACACTTTCAGCTGTCTGCTAAACAAAAAAAAAAAAGGATTTCTGTTTATGTCATGATTTTTTATATAAAGCTGCAATATTGGTCAGGAAGGACTACGTGCTTAATGAGCTTGAGTGGAACACAAAACCACTTACACTAATTCTGCAACTGTTCGCCTGATATTGACCTGGAAACTCGAAGCCAGCAATGTTTCCTTGAGAAAACATGCATGAATTAATAATTGCAACCAGTGCTGTCTTATAATATGGACATGATGAGCTGTACCTTCTTGTAATGAATTCAGCTTCTGGGGACCGTCAGGGACTAAAAGCTCATCCCATTCAAGCGTATTTATCTCATGAAGTCTCTGTTCATGGTTTTTAATGGTCATACTATCATTACGCTCTGGAAAAACATAGATACAAGGACAAAACATTAGTCATACCAACAGGAAAATTAATGATTTAAAGTTATTTTACTTGTGTGTGTGTGAGAGAGTATCAAAATAAGTAACAGACTTTTATCACCTAAAGGCGACATGTCAGCACCATAATGTGTTCGCGCTACTGCAGAATCAAATTCTTCAAACAACTGTTGAGATGCAGGTTGTTCAGATACGGCAGAACCAGAATTGGAGTTTACAGGTGTGGCTGCAGAAACCTGCATCCTCATCAAAAGTAAACAAGACATAAGTTTCAAAAGCATATATTTACCAGTAAAATGAAATAATTTGACTTCATAAGAAGCAAGGTATGCAACAAATATAAAATGTTTTTTGAGAAAAAAAGAAGAAAGTAGACGACACGCAGAGAACATTAAGACAAAAAATATTTGGATATCAAAGCTGCGACGGACAAAAAAGAACCATAGGTGTGGAATAGCAGGGGAATGGGTTCATTTTTTTTTATTTATTTATTTATTATTTTTTTTTTTTAAGGATGAGGAAGTAGAATATGAACAGGTAAAAAGGGAAATGGAAAAATTATAAGAAACAAGGAGTACATCAAGTAGTAGTTGTAAACCACTTTCGGCAAAGTGCACAACCTTTAGCTGATAACGTCACAAGAAATTGAGCTGCTGTACAATCTACTTTCATTAGTTATAATTATGAATGCCAAGTTTCAGTTCGTGAGTTCTGGTAATATATGAAAAAAATATGAGGTCTAACTTAAACCAGCAAATTAAGCTTTTCGAACTAGAGAAGTGACTGCAATACTAAAACAGTTGTCAATACAAAAACAGTTGTCATAATGTCTAACGGAATAGAAATTTGGAGCCTTCTAATAATTACTACCAAATGCACAACAACAAAAAACTGTAATAGCTTTGAAGAAGCACTGTCAAAAGATGAAAGACAAAACATACAGAAATATACAACTACAAATATCTACTTGATGGAAGACAAACCTCTTGAGTTTCACGATAATGCACAAGGACTACATGTTCCATCGACCTGCAATTAGAAATTATCAGAAATTCATGCCTGATTCAATCACATGTTCAAAGACTCACAGAGGCTCATCAACTCCAATGTCCGAAGATATAAGGAACAAGAAACAAGGGGTTTAAGTTGGATGACCCAGACTCATACAAGGGTTTAAAAGTCATACTTGTCGAGTAGCCAGTAACATCTGCGAACAAAAGTTGGGTTGTCTTCTCCATGTGCATAGTAAACATGAATTCTTTCCTCATTACCAACCTGTATCACAAAATATATAATACATGCTTTTCAATAAGATATATTTTTCTTTAAGAAACCTTTAAACATCGAGCAGTTTACTAATCATAGTTGTGCAGAAGCATGCCAAGAAAACGGGTAAAATTAGGCAGTAAACTGACAAGCTTGAAAAGGAAACAAAGACACAACCCCTTGGATTAAAATCTCTGCGGAGCACTACAATTCAGAAAGAACGCGGATTGCAAAAGATCCCTTTGAGGAAACATATAAATTAAAACACTTCTCAGTCACCAAATGAGGCTGGAGTTTCTTCCATATGCTTATGTTCAAACCACAATCTAGTAGCCAAGTATTTCATTTCAAAGAACCAGGCAAGTACTTGACTAAAAAAAATCATGATGATTATTCCAAGCGCAGATGGAATGTTGATATTCCATGGCTCAACTAACTAGGTCCCAAGAAAAATTCAATTCAAATAATTGGCCAATACTGCATTATTCATGCTGATAGATGGAAAAATATATGTAAGGTATAAAAAATGAAATTCACCTAAAAGAAAAGGCAGACATATAGACCATTAATCTTTTTTGGCCCATCAAGAGAAGTGCAATTTCTTGTACGGGTGTAAGACATTATAAACACAAAGCTAGAACTTACCTTCAAGTGTTCATGAGCTTCTTTAACAGTTTTTCCATCTTTCTTCTTCTTCCATTTATGACCATCTTTTCGAAAATTCCGGAGCATCTTACGGTCAAACAACACAACCGTGCCGCCTATTAACCACAGAATCCATAAGTTGGTCAAACCACATCACGCATACATACTCAGATTTTCATTCCTAAATGAGATAAATTAACTAATTTATAAATGTTCAAGAAACAAGTATACAAATATATAATTACTTCTTGGCAGATTCATGGGTTTGACATAAACAGTGAAGCGCTTGTAGTTAGAGAGTACGGCATGAATCTCGTTAGGTCTGAGCCATCTCGATTTGGCTTCCTCTATCATAGTGGGAAAGTCCAAATCTGTCCACACAAACGCCCAAGTATTACATTTCATCAAAGTATTAAATTTAACAAAACCACGTCCACACTTGGATTACAACCACACACATGTTAAAACATGCAAAATCGATCAATTTAAGGAAACACATAACCGAGAAAACAGACAATACAGAGATGCTTGTCAATTTATGCAGCATTACTGGCATCAAAATATAAGACAAAACCCGCATGATCCAATTATTTGACTAACTTAATCCTTCCCAAATTTTATATTAATAAAAAAAATCAGGAAACCGGAGTTGGCTGCTTCAGTCCTCTGTGCTTCATTTCTAATCCACACAAACAAACAAAAAACGAAACTGGAACACAAAATTCCCAAATTTCCAGTCCGTAATAAGTCAAAACCTACAAATCCACAAAATTCAACTGTTAATTGCCGGGCTTCAGCCACCTCAAAACTCTGCCAAGTTCAGAAAACACCTGAAGACCAAAATTGCGCAAAACACAACAACACAAGCGTCAAAAGCCTGTGCAAATACGAGCTGCTATGTACCTTCCATGGTGTGGAAGCCATGAATCTCCGACCCTATGAGTACACCACTTTTATCCATCAATGGATGTTTCAACACAAACACACACGCACACACAGTATTTGTCCTGATTGAGCGAGCTATCGTCAGACCCTCACTGCCTCTAAGAATTAATCAATTAACGTCATGTTTTTATCATCGTAGAAAATGCATTCGTGAGAACAGAAGAAAATAAAAAAAGGGGACGGGTCCAAATTAGGAGCTGCCATTTGAGAGGGACCAGTCAACAGCGATGGGTTGGACGGAAAATGGTTCAGTTAAATGGTTGTATTAATGAATCTGTATTAAGATCGGTAATCAATAATATTTGGGATATTCTGTAACTTTTTTTTTTTTTGGTAACTAGTGATTTTTTTATACGAAATATATAATTAGAAAGTTTTGTCTCATCACATTTTTAATTGCTTAATAATGGTAAATTATTTAAATTTTGCAAGTATGCGTGGTGTAGAAGATGCCACGATTTCTTCTCCTTTTTGCTTCTTCACCTTTTATGTTTTTGTGCGTAAGACTGCCATGCGGGCATGCAATTACGCAAACGGACTACAATTTAAAATTAATTGCTACGTTTTATTACAAAAAATTAGTGTAATACTATATTTAATTCACCTAGTAATTACTATGTGTATATTCCAATTTGACTTGGGACAAGGGGCATCACGTGGTTGTAGCTGAAGTTGATAACATCAGCGTAGCGAAGGTGGTGTTGCAGGATGCGGTTTTGACCGTAGTATACAGTAGCATTATTCTTGGAGTTCGAAAATTGTTGGCAAGGAAATGGATAATAGACATTGAGAAAAGAATTTTGCAGCCGTTTTAATTTTTACCCTCGCAATGTAGTCGATTAAGGTACTCGCCTCCTTTTCTGTA